AGGCGCCCTCTGCAGCTGGCCCGTCCCCATCCTCAACCTCTCATGGCGTTGGACACAGCAGGCCTCCCACCTCACAGCACCCTCCTCCTCTTGGTTCCAGTATGCCATGCCCTCCTGGTTCTGTCCCACCCCATGGGCAGCTTTGCTGGGTCACCCCCTTCTCAGTGACATCTAAATTCTGGCACATCCCAGGCCCCTTCCTCCGAGCCCTTCCGCTCTCTGTCTGTGTTCCTGCGGTGAAAGCTCTGCTCTGCGGGCGGCATTCCCTGTCCACAGATGCTGCTGCTCAGACCCCTCCCAAAGCTCCAGACCACGGTCCACAGCCCCACGTGGGAGCCTGAGGGCGCCGCCACCTCATGCATCCAGAGCAGTGCTCCTCAGTCCCCAAGTCCTCTGCATCCCAGCACATGTGCTCCAGATGCCCAGGACCAAGCCTTGAAGTTGTGCTAGGCTCTTCTGTCTCCCCACACCCGCCCCTCAGCAAGCCCTGCACTCAATCTGTCCCAGAGCCAGCCCCTTCTCCGGGGCTTCCAAGGCATCCCAGGCTCAGGGCTCCATCACCCTCTCCTGGAATATGGGTCTCTACTGCCACGCCCTGGCTTCCGTTACACCCTGGCTTCTGTCTTTATGCTGTCTGTCCTGCCAAAGCACAGCCTCTGCAGTGGGGGGGACTTAGTGTCCCCAGCGCCTGGGGAAGCCTGGCACGCAGTACATGCTTGTGGAAGGAATGACAGGATAAATGCACGCGAGGACCTGGAAGATAAGGCAGAAGTGGCCAGGGTGTGAGGTGGCAAAGGCACATTATCGCTCCCATTTTACAGAGGAGGAAACTGAGGCCCAACAGGCTTTCTGAGCTGCTGATGGCAGCACCCCTGGTGTGTAGAGCTGGATCTCAGCCCAGGCCTGGTGACTCCCTGTCCCACCACCATCTAGCAGGGAGGGGAGACTTGGGCCACAGAGAGCTGGGCACAGTGGGAGAACCCACGATAGAGATTCATCTGAAAATCACAGTTGAAAGGGCAAATGTTGGCCCTGAGGACAGAGCGCTTGGTGGGCAGGGATGGCCAGGGATGGGCAGGGAGCAAAGCAGCCCCATCCCCTACAACTCACACGAAGTACAACGTGAGTTTTCAAGAAGGCTCCCTTACCACCCTGGCTAACACACGGTGAAAACCCGTCTCTACCAAAAATACAACAAAATTAGCCGGGCGAGGTGGCGGGAACCTGTAGTCCCGGCTACTCGGGAGGCTGAGGCAGGAGAATGGCGTGAACCCAGAAGGCAGAGCTTGCAGTGAGCCGAGATCGCGCCGCTGCACTCCAGCCTGGGTGACAGAGCGAGACTCTGTCTCAAAAAAAAAAAAAGAAGGCTCCCTCTCTGCTCCACTGGACCCCTTGCCCTGGCCCAGCCACCCCAGCACCCCCAGGAGGCCTCTCTCCTGGAGATCCTGCCTCTTCCCCTTGCCAGCCCCAACCTGCAGTCCAACCTGCATCTGTGGCAGCAGAGGGAGGCTTATATAATGTAACTGCGGCCACTTCCCTGCCCTGGTGGCCAACACTGCCCTCTGGGTAAACACCATGGCATTTGGCCTTTCGTGGCCCCACCCGCGCCGGGCCATGGCTCATCTCCTCCTTTCTGTCTAACTGTCCATTCTTCTGTGTGTCTGTGACACTCCTGCCCCCGAGCTGTTCACAATGCGTAAGACGCTTTCTCGGATCGGGAGAACTTTGAAGTTCCTCCCGTGTCTTCAGAAGACAGCACAAGATGATCCTGAGACGTCTGCTTCAGTCCCCTGCAGACTTGGGGCTCCTTCCTGGGACCCCGCAGTGGAACTCACTTCTCTGGCAACCCCATCAGTCTCACTAACAGAGCCTCGAGGCCAGGCGTGGGTCTTGCTTACCAGGGGGTCCTCCATGCCCAGCCCAGGTCCAGTGCGTAGGAGGGCCAGGGAGAGACACCAACAGCTAGCTGAGCTCCAGGGACCTTGCTTTCCAGCCCCAGCAGGTCCAAAGATCTGAGCCCAGGTCAGCCTCCCGGGAGAGCCACTGCCCATGAGCTCACATCCTCAGCCCTGGCAGTGTCCAGGCCGGCCAGCTCAGCGAGGAGACAAACACTAGGTCCCCAGCTGCCTTGACAGGAGGAGGCATCGAGGTGCACTGGGGTGGACCACAGCCTCTGACTGTGACGGTGCCCTCAAGAAGCAGGTGGTGCAGGGGAGGCGGCCCTGGATTTGAGGATACATATCTGGGTTTGATCCAAGGACAGCCTTTTACCAGCTGGACAAGCCTCAACTTCCCCCTTCTGTTTTTTGTTTTTGTTTTGTTTTGTTTTGGAGATGGAGTCTCACTGTTTTTGCCCAGGCTGGAGCGCAGTGGCACAATCTCAGCTAACTGCAACCTCCACCTCCACTTGAGGTTCAAGCAATTCTCTTGTCTCAGCCTCCTGAGTAGCTGGGATTGATTACAGGCGCTCACCACCATACATGGCTAATTTTTGTATTTTTAGTAGGGATGGGGTTTCACTATGTTGGCCAGGCTGGTCTCAAACTCCTGACCTCAAGTGATCTGCCCACCTTGGCTTCCCAAAGTGCTGGGATTACAGACATGAACCACCGCACCTGGCCCCCTGTCTGTTAAACGGGCCATTCCATGCCCACTTCCTCTGGCTGTTATGAGAATTAAATGAAAATAAGGACAAGTCCCAGCAGACTTCGTAAACTATCAAGTGCTACACAGACGCCAGCACTTCTCTGTGTCTGTGAGGCTTACACGTTCTAACTAAGCAGAGCAGTGAAAACTCCAGCTCCTGTCTCGTCAATATCTTGGTGAAACACAGATCCGGATTCAAATCAAATCTTGCCTCGGCCACTTCCTGGTTGCATGGCCTCAGCAAGTCACCTGCCCTGTCTCAGCTTTCACGCCCTCATGTACAGAACAGAGAGGGTGGAAAGATTCACCTGCGGTTTGCAGAGGGCCTGTGAGAGAAGGCAGGTCAGGTGTTGAGAGCCCTACCTGGTTCCATGCTCTGAGCCATTATGAGCTGTGACTGGGGGTGGCGCCAGCTTCTGCCTGCGAGTTAAGTAGCTCTCAACGGCTAATCCCGCAGTAAATGGGCTGGGGTTTGGCAGGAGGCCAGGGTTTTTAATTAGCTTCTGCCCTGAGATGAGGCAGTTGTGGCTCCACTGTCAGCAGTGGCAATGTGGTGCCTGCAATGAGGGGGGATGTCCAGGCCATCTTCCTCTGCCTCTGGAGGGCCGCTTGTACCGCCTCCTGACTCTCCCAGCCTTCACCTCCTCAGCAGGCCCAACCCAGCCTCCACCATGACCAGCGGGAGCTTTCTCCAGCACAGTTCTGACCCTGGCGTTCCCACTTCCAGTCCTCAGATGTTTCCTGTGCTCTTCACACAGCCTGCATGGCCACACCATGCCTGTACCTCCCAGGCAGGATTCCCTCTCCGGTCACACACTGACCTCTCTCTCTCTCTCTCTTTTTTTTTCTTTTTTTTTTTTTTTTTTTTTTTTTTTTTTGAGACGGGATCTCGCTCTGTCGCCCAGGCTGGAGTGCAATGGTGTGATCTCGACTCACTGCAACCTCCGCCCCCTGGGTTCAAGTGATTCTCCTGCCTCACCCTCCTGAGTAGCTGGGATTACAGGCGCACACCACCACACCTGGCTAATGTTTATATTTTTAGTAGAGATGGGGTTTTGCCATATTGGCCAGGCTGGTCTCAAACTCCTGATCTCAGGTGATCCACCTGACTCGGCCTCCGAGTCCCAAAGTGCTGGGATTACAGGCATGAGCCACCGCGCCCAGCCTATGCTGACCTTCTCCAAGTGCCTCGAGACCTCCAGGCCTTGGCACATGCTGTTCCCTCTACCTGGGGCTCCCTCCTCCCTCTCTTGCTAAATGAACTTCTTGCCCTTGGGATTTCACCTTCAATATCGCTTCTGCCCAGTGGGGCATTGGTTTCCTCCTCATGTGCCAGAGGCTCTGTGCCTGGCGGTCAACCCGCATACCAGGTTTTGGCAAAACTACTGGTTCATCCTCCATCTTTTCACTGGTCCCTAAACTCCAGGAGGGTAGGGACGGTGCCTACCTCCTCACACTGCCTGGCTTGCCAGTGCTATCAAGTGTGTGTTGGTTGACCAAGGGCCTTGTAAGCACCACCTCCTAAGCACCAGGCACCGAGTCCCTGTGCCCTCCTTGTATCTTTGCAACAATCTCACAAAGGAGGGTTATTGCTGAAGAAACCAAGACCCATGGCCGAGCATGGTGGCTCACGCCTGTAATCCCAGCACTTTGGGAGGCCAAGGTGGGCAGATCACGAGGTCAAGAGATCGAGACCATCCTGGGCAACATGGTGAAACCCCGTCTCTACTAAAAATACAAAAATTAGCCAGGCGTGGTGGCACGCGCCTATATTTCCAGCTACTGGGGAGGCTGAAGCAGGAGAATGGCTTGAACCCAGGAAGTGGAGGTTGTAGTGAGCTGAGCGCACCATTGCACTCCAGCCTGGGCGACAGAGCAAGACTCCATCTCAAAATAGTAATAAGAATAATAATAATAAATGAATTAAAAAAGAAACCAAGGCCCAGAGAGGGGAAGTGGCTCTCTCGAGGCCAGAGCCAGTGACAGCAGAGCAGGACTGGACACTGGACCTGGCTGGCGCCACTAGGGGCCCACCCACAGCTGCTGGCTCGGTCCCTGGGGCCCTGCCCTACTGGCACTGGGCCCAGTAGCTTGTGTCCCTACCAGCCAGGTGCTCTGTCCAGGACACCTCGTGCGGGCCTTTTCCATTTCCTGTGTCTCCAGGTGCAGGAATGGCTTGGCGCAGGTCTTGTAGGCATTTGCCATGTTGCCCTGGAGAGGGTGAGTGGGAGGGACTGAGCGACGAATCTCTGTGTGACCTCATGACAATCTGCCATCCTTTCCCCTGGTGGGATCTGTGTGAGGAGGAAGATGAGAGCCGCTCTTCCCTGGCCCTGACTCCTTTCTCCCTACAGAAGCAGATGCGGGGTCCAGGGAAGGACCCCACCAGGAAGTGCCCAGATCCAAGATCTGCCAGCAGCCCCAAGCAGCCTCCTTCAGAATCCATCTACACAGTGAGTCCCGGGGCCCCGCTCCCTCCACTTCTCTCAGGCCTGAGGCAGGGTCTGTCTTGTACCAGGGTCTGTCTGGCTCAGTCTTGTACCAGCTGTGTGACCTCTCCTAGCCTCAAGTTCCTCATCTGTAAAACGGGGACAATTCTCACCTCATGGAATTTCTATGAAGCTGAAAAGAGATGACACGTGCGGGGTCCCTGGAAGGCATATGAATGTCAGGTGCCCCCCATGCCCTGTTCCCCTCCTTGGCACAGCCCCTCATTCTGGGACAAGGGGTAGTGAGGGCACAGGTTGGTGAGGAATGAAGGAAACTCCTTCATCTGACCAAACAGCCGTTACCACTTCCTCCTGTTTTTATTGCACAAACAACAAAAAATCACAAAAAGAGGAAGAGGTCAGGCGCCATCCCACGCCCTTAACACATCAGTGATTTTTAATTATTTGCTCTCCCTCCCCTCCTAGCACATGCAGACATTGTCTTACATGGTCACAGTCACAGCAGAGACACGTGTTGGGACCCTGTTTGTTCTACTCTCTGCTGTGTCATAGGCATTTTCCGAAACAATCTTCCTGGAGATGCGGGTGCATCTTCAGGAAGTGGACGGTAGGTGCAGCGTAGGGGCCGAGGAGGCCAGGCCACCCCAGCCCGGCCAACCAGCCAGCATGCAGCCCTCTGCCCAGTGGCTGGGGCCTGGGAGGGCTGGGAACACTCTTTTTGCTGTGTTCCTTTCGACTCCACAAGCAACATATGCTCCAAGTAGAGCAAGTGAAGAACAAATGCCACCCAGTGCCAGCTGGGGTCCCCATCCCGTGAGATCTGGCACCACCAGGTGGGCTCCCCACTCCACGCCTGGAAGGCACACAGCCCTTCTGGGGCCCTGCAGGTTCCCCAGGTGCACGCTCCCTAGGTGCACGCTCCCTGGTTGTGTTGGCGCTTGGATTCTGCTCGTACGTGCTGCCATTTCTGTTCCCACAACAACAACTCACTCTAATAACGCCACAAAATGCCACACAGAGGACGTCCAGGATATGGCCTTGTCTGCTGAGGATGGGGCAGGTGGCAGCGAGGCCAAGGAAATGTCCCTGTGGGGCAGTGCCAATAGTCCCAAGTGAAATGTGATGGTTCTCAAAGGGCTTTCAGCTTCCCCATCCCGGGGAGTTTCCGTCAGCCACGGCTTTGCACGCGGCCGAAGACTTCCTCATACTCTCTCCTGTCTCCCAGCATCTCATAGTGGTATTTTCCCTACCAGGGATTCTGGTGTCAACTGTTAGATGAAAATATTTCTCTCTCTCCCTCTCACTCTCACTTTCCCTCTCCCCCAACATACACATATGTGAGATATATATATATATATATA